GATGGTATAAACTGCAGGTCGAGCGAACCATTTTTTAAAGAGTTATGGCGAGCCGACGGTTTGCGACGGTTTCCGACCGTCGCAAACCGTCGATTGAACAAAAATTAGTAGCGGTATTGTAGTAATTCCTAGTTAGCCAAAGAACCTTCGTATACATACAAGTTGGGTTGCGAAACCACTCTAACGCATGCCAACATATTTCGCAATGAAGATGCCCCTAACAGGAAAAATTTAGATTCGAACAAAATTCAGACAGGACTTATGGGACAACCCAATATTTTAATGAAATGCTTTAGAATTAGCCCTGCATGCTGTCTTCTTCGGTAACTATTGAGAAAATTTCCAGGAAATAATGCACGCCGAACGAGCCGATTGGATGTACGCAGCGATGGTGATCGATCGTGTGTGCTTCGTGACTTTCTCGTTCTTTCTGATTCTCTGTACGCTTGTTCTCTCTTACAGAGCACCGCATATCTTTGTCTGATCAACGAGGTGCATACAGTATGCCTTGTCCAGTCAGAATTTTGAGCCATGTTGGTTACACGGGTTAACACATTATCTGATTACCTATAGTTACCTTCTGAGCTTAATATTGGGACCAGTTCCCTACCAAGTTCCCGCCTTTATTTCTGCGTGGATTTTCCGCAGCGTTTGGACTCTTTATGCGCCGTCCATAGAATTATAGTCAGTCAACCGAATATTAGCGAAAAAAGCCTTTTACTAGGTGGGCGTGCAAAACCCGCGAGTGTGAGTTCATGGATACGCACTGATATTTACCTTTCCAATGAAGCTTTACAATTCCAAGTTTGCCACCTACAGGAGATATATCCACTTTGCGATTTGGAGCGCCGCTTCAAAAAGAAGCAATGCAGCCTCCTAACGGCATGACATTTGTTAAATTGCTCTCCACACCTTTAATTGACCAAGAAGGTGATACGGGATCCCGGACAGGATGCCAGTCACATAGCGAAAAGGCAGATACGCAGACAAGAACTGTAGCGATTTGGCGTTAAGCTGAAAAGAATGTGCTATAGTACATCCCCTTCGCACAAACAGCTGCGATTCGCCCTGTCAGGAGTTCCCTACCATCTTCGTCGAGCGATGGGCCTCCTGTCAGGTACCCGGGTAAGGCGTTATCCGAGCTACAAAAGCTAGGCATAGAAAATCGCAATGTGTAAATCATTGTACATATAAGACAAACATTCCCGAAGAATCTTCCAAATCGCTTTTCCCACATTTCCCATCGAGTCTTTCACAAAATTTCCTCTTCAGTAAGATCTTCTGTCAGCTTTATATCATCTTACAGATCTCTTTGTTCATAGCCAAAAATAAATATGCTATTCGCACTTGTTTTCAGTTTCTATTTTTTCAGCGCCGAAGAGTTGGTGGATGTGACACAGTCACTGTAAAAAATGATGAAGAACGGCGTCGAATCAGGCCCTTGGGGATGCGCGCGCCAGCTCTTTAATGGAAAGCGTGCTGGCGCATTTTAGTTATCCATTAAGCCTATACACGGGCACTAAAGCATGCGGTCGGCATTATTCCATGCGCCATGTGACGGAGAGCGATGCTTATTGTTAGAGTCGCCCTATACACGCAGGTGCAGAGAGGAATCCGGAGATCGGAAGCAGGGGGTCAACCCTACGTTGTTACTAGTAACAACGGGGGGGAGGTCGTACTGGGTTGAGTTTGTAGGAGGGGGAGGTCGTACCCGTTTCAGTCGCTTGGAAATCACATGTGAGTTTGAGGTGAAACTGAAGTTTTATGGGTAGGTAGACTGGGTGAGTTGAGGGGCGCAGGAAAAAAAATTTGCCGTTTCAGCGCGCGTATATATTCCCGCTCGACGGCATTTTTGGAGGAAAAGTGGGCGGAGTTTGGTGGGTTGAGTGGTATCAGAATTAAATACTATAGAGACGATGATGGTGGTCGAGGTGTGGAAAAGGGGGTCGTATCAAATCCACCTTGGGGGAGGGGGGTCGTAAAAAATTTTCAAAAGTAACAACGATAGGGTTGACCCTGCTCGGAACTACAGTGCGCGTCAATTGTTATATGCCAACCCTGAATTTTTTCAGTTTTCCGACTTATTTGGAAATTTCGTAAATCGGCATAGCAACCATCGTTTTCGGCGTGTCGGAAAACTAGGAATGGTGTTGTTTGATTTTGGTTAACGCGTGGATTTGAATTGCTCTGTTCTTTTGAAGAAAATGGGCCGCGTCAATTGCTTATGCCATCCTAAAGTTTCTTCAGAATTTCTCATGTCTCTAACGCTATTCAGCTACGGTGTGCATGCAGTACAAATGAGAAAAATCCTCCACTTATGCAATGCACACAAATGGTGGAGCATTTATAACTAATTAGTTCGGAATATTAGCCCTTATACTGGACGGTAGCAGCATGAAAACGCTTTATCAGAGAAAGTGCTGTGTGCTCGCTGCGATCGCTCCTGCTGCTTATTGTAGAACTCACCGAGGAGTGTATCCAGGCAAAACTGGGAAAACTTGAGTGCTCAAGGAGCCTTGAAATTCATCATTTTCCCACTTTGAATCCGTGGTCAACTTTATTTGTGTGTCTTGGCTCCCTGCAAGCTCGAAGCGTCACGCTCACAAGGTCTCTGTTTAGAATATGAGTTGCACTCACAATCCGCGTAGTACCCATCGCCGAACTTTGTCGGATTCTCTCTGGAAAAATTTTCGTACCGAGCGAGCGAAAATGATGACATGGGCCAGTTGTAACTTGAACGGGACACCGAAGTGGTGGCATGGGCCATCATTGCATCGCCTTGATAAGAAAACTTCGATCGAGTTCAGTGATGGGTACCAGACGGGTAGTAGGTACGAGTCATTCTCTCTAAAAGAGACTTTGTGAGCGTGAACGCTTCGAGCTTCGCAGGGAGCCAAGACCACAAATAAAGTTGACCACGGATTCGAAGCGGGAAAATGAGAATTTAAGAGCTCCTTGAGCACTTCAATTTCCCCAGTTTTGCCTGGATACACTCCTCGATGAGTTCTACAATAAGCAGCAGGAGCGATCGCAAGAGTGAGCACACAGCACTTTCTCTGATAAAGCGTTTTCATGCTGCTACCGTCCAGTATAGGGCTAATATTCCGAACTAATTAGTTATAAATGCTTACCATTTGTGTGCATTGCATAAGTGGAGGATTTTTTCACTGTATGCATGCACACCGTAGCTGAATAGCGTTAGAGACATGAGAAATTCTGAAGAAACTTTAGGATGGCATAAGCAATTGACGCGGCCCATTTTCTTCCAAAGAACAGAGCAATTCAAATCCACGCGTTAACCAAAATCAAACAACACCATTCTTAGTTTTCCGACACGCCGAAAACGATGGTTGCTATGCCGATTTACGAAATTTCCAAATAAGTCAGAAAACTGAAAAAATCAGGGGGTGGCATATACAATTGACGCGCACTGTATGCTAACGGTCGAAGATTAGGGACGCTGCCGGTTCGCGCCAAAGAATCGAAATGAGTCGGTGCAAACATTATGCGAACTGACGCTGGACCAGCATGCGGTACCAACGGATCCTCGACTGAACGAACACATGACGCGTTGGCCGATCGGCCGACTTATTTACGAAAGCTCTGAAAAGAGGACATGTTAAGGACTTTCGTGTACCGAGCAAAGAGGAATCCATTGGAACCATCGTTAGCACGCGAAGGTGAGGAAGAAAATGGTTGCTGGCTGCCATACAGTAATTCAATGATCAAACGTACAGGCAGACCTGCGACACGACGATACGAGGAGTGATCATTTTGTACTCCTACTGACTAGTATAGGGCGCCATTCGTTGCGGGACCCACTGCCTTAACCCGCGGGGATCCCATGTGATCGCGGTTGAATTCGAACATTCCAGCTTCTCACGCATGTCAAGTGTCTGCCCTCACCCCCCACCCCCCTAGACTGGCGACACTGCCCCTGGCTCACGGATTCCCCGCTCCACATTGAAGGGTTCACTGTAGCAGGAGGCAGTGGGACCCGTAACGAATGGCGTCCTTTACTAGTCAGAAGGAGTACAAAACGATGCGTTCCTATGGACATCACGACAGGAGCCAATCATGGTAGCAAGTGAGTCGTTCCCTGTCCGCCACACGACTCTGGTACTAATCAAAGCTACTCGAAGCGGTATAAAGGGACTGGTTGGTCTAGATGGCGAACAAGCTAGAAGGAAAGGCCAAACTGAACCGCACATGAAACCGCAAGCCATTTCGTTAGCTGCATAATCCTTGTAATGAAGCCTAGAGGTTAAACGCATGGCGCAGACGCGAACGAAACTTCAAACCGTTCCGAGCACTCTACGCTTTTTCTCTCTTTCGAACAATCGGTACTACTATATGAATGGAAAGCAAACGCTGAATAATTGAATTCCCTGCAGGGGATAAATGTGGGAGTACCTTCGTGATGTTTGGTCGAAATGCATTGATTTCGCATCACACTGTACTCTCTACTCTGTAGGGACAGTAATTTGACCGACACCACTGAGAAGATGTAGATCAACTCAACCTGCCCCATGGCGGCTTGTGCTACGGACTTCGTGCTTCGAAGCCCGCTTCTCTGCCACTGCGCTATCGATTTAAAGCCGCCCACAACACATCGCGGTGTTGGTCATTCCAGTCCCACATTTCAAATACAACTCCACATAGAATATTTATAATTTATACATATAGAAAAGCATTTCCCGATACCGAATTAAATTATCACAGACATATAAATGAATTAAATTCCCAGAACAAATACCTGTGGCCAAGAAATTTTTCGCACATAAAGCACAACTCTAATTAGAAAAACGAAAAACAAGTCAATCAAGATGTACGTTAAAAAACGCAAATGAGATTAACAGTATCAGAGGGCAACAGCGGTCATTTCACAAACATCCATCATCAATGAAGGACGCCTTCTTATGATACTATTCCCTATTTAACAAGTAACATGCTGTACTGTAGGAACTGCCGCTATAGTCCTTCCCTCCTCATCGTAAGCTCTAGTAGCAAACGACTAGTGCTCTTGCAAATGTGTCTGCAATTCGTTTTCGCACCGGAGAAAGAAGGATCGCCTCAGGTCTCTCGGCAACACCGATATACAGCGAATATGTGGCACATAGCTGGAAATAAATCGATAGAAAAGCGAAAAAAAAACACATTACTCCCAACCATTTTCTGAAGTACTGTATCAACACTTCATCCATAACGGTGTAAAGGCTAGCATGCTCATTAACTGATGTTCACTGTTTCCCCTTTACCACGTTTAACATGAGGAGCAACAACATTCGCTGCGGCAGCCCATGTGGTCCGCCAGGGACTAGCGCTTTTGGGAGTAGGACAGCCTTTATGTCTGCCAGTTAGAAATTATATGCCATTCGATCAAACCCTAAGCTGGTTGAGTATGTTTTTAGATCAACAAAATAACCATGGTCAATGGATAAATATTAACGATGTGGTGCGGTTCACGAGGACGAAAAGCGACTTTTTTCGCGTTTCGCAGCGCGGAACATTTTTCGTCGCGGGAACCCAGGTCCGCCGTTGATCATCAGTAGACCCGAGGTTCCTCACAGCGAAAAATGTTTCGAGCTGCGAAACGCGGAAAAGTCGCTTTCTGTCCTAGTGAATCACACCGCGAACGATCAAGGACAAGCTCAATGTGCCTTGCTAAGACAGTTTTGAACCTCGACAAAATTGTAGGTCTCGCTAATTTTTCGCGGGGTTCGATTTATTACATACATGATGTTGTGTTGAATTTTTAGTTCTATTTGCAGCAAAAAACAAAAAAGCCTTTGTTAAGGACGCAGATCCGTAGGCTTATACTAGAGCAATCGAGGCAAAGGACGACTTATATGCCACTGCGTTGCGGAAAATTAATGTTTGTCTTTCCTTTTCCATGAAAATTCATGCGACGAGGAATTTCAGCTATAATGTCCCGGAGTATAAACTTTGTGCATTGCCACGACTAGTTGAAACTATTAGTCCATTCACGATTTTCCCTTTTTTCAAAACCGCGAAAATGCCGCTGATGTGAGGCAAAGACGGCGCGTCGTAAATTCGCTCATAATACGGATCCAAAAGAAACGCGAAACCAAGCACGGTCGTGCATGAGTTGAATTACTTCAGACAGAAAGTAGGTGCATTGAACCACTTAGCGTTTAAGATGTAATGAAGTAGATTTACCAAAAATCATAACCGCTTCTAGGCATCGCTCTCAAAACTCCCATGCACCTCAGATCACAGAAATCTCACTTCGTCACAGCCCCCATGAACTAGATGTTAGAGCTACAGTTCTGCACAAAACATTTGTTGATAGAATGCAAACGCCCGACTGCGTTGCTTATTTAGGGGCTAGATTCAATAAAACACGAGTTCACTTATCTACGTGATCCAGCCTTACTCATGCCAGCATTGAAAGCGAACCTTCAGCAACTTTCGATAAATCGTTGAGCTTCGCGGGTGCGAGATCTGGATGCTTCTTTAAGTCGAAGTCAGGTTTCAGCAGCTGAAAGCATTTTATAACTTGAAGAGATCAAGGAGGCTGATCGAAATGAATCGCTTAGTACCCACTTCATCTTCTGCAGTGTCAACCCATTTCAGCAAAGGGCCTACTATGAACTCTGCACTAGTAGCGATCAACTGATTACATCGAGTACGTAGTTGTAAGTCTATCACACGGCGGGTATCGCTGCTTTGCTCAGAAACATGGATGGGTACCTGAACAACTTCACTGTTTTTTGTACCAAAACAATAAAAATACCATACATGCAAGAGCAGGTTAAAGCTGGCAAGAGAGGCGAAGCAAAATGTCACACGGTTTCGAAGAAATGTTAGCACGAGTTCCCACAAGCAAAACTCACGGGGTGATTTCCTTTTAAAAGTACGTTATGAACTGGTGCTGGCTGAATATTTGCATACTCTTTAAACTGAAATCACCCCAGAAGTAAACCTTTGTGAACTTACTGATATGTGAAAGAGCATTCCGCGAAACTAACCGAGAAAAGCAATTCAAGAAAGGCGTTGTTGGAACTCAGTTCGAACCATCGGCTTTTGTCATCGAAGAACGAGCTCTTCATTCGCGCAAAATCTATGGAACAATCGAGGGTAGGCAACGTGGCATCAGCTCTGAATAAGTAGGAATCTTTGCAGGGAAATGTCACTCTCGAGAAAGAATGCGAGGAGAGCAGCTCACTGCAGAGTTGTGCGAAGCATACCTGTGCGCAGCCTGCCTATAGGGAGCAGTTTGTTCCCTCAGAATGAGTAAATGCTTGACCAGGAACAACTCGCCGTCCAACTTCTTTGTATGACCAGTCTGAAAGAAGATACCTTCTTGAAAAAAAGGTTTACAACTGCACTACGAATACCATTTACCGGTCATGATCAATTGAGTTCAAGCAAGAATACATATTTGCATGTCTACAGTAGGAGGTAAATGGTAATATCAACGTCAGTGATGTTACTAAAGGCCTGTCTATGTGAGAGCTACATCAACATCAAATACAGCAATCAATCGAAGCTTCACGGCACTCACTTAAATTCTGATTCTGATTCACGGAAATTCTGTGTAGATAAGTGAGACGAAAGGAAAGCCACGATGTTCAGTAACTATGAGTGAAAATATCTCATCATTGATCTGATCTAGGAACACAGGTCTAGCAAAGCTTCAATAAACGTGGAAAGGTTGGAGAATTCCCACTGACTGCCAAGGTCAGAGAGCTGTAGTAAAAGCTATAACCTATGTACTTCCTTTCCATCCTAACTCACGAAAGTCTAATTAGCGTAGCTCCTAAGCTCTTGACCCATGTCTTAACCTAGATATTTATCAGCAGACAGTGTTCCCAATAAGAAATGTTCACTTAGAAGCTTCGTGGAGATCCCTTGGTATTTCGAAAAAGCGTACTTTCTTTCATAATCATCTTTGAAGGAGCGTATTTTACCTCACAATACAGGGGACAAGATGACAAAGTTAACAAGAAATATTCACCTTTTTGGATGGTGCCGCAGCAATGTGTAGAGCTGCCGCCTCCAGGGACTCGGTGCACATTGTCAACAAATCACGAGCAAGTGATTGAAAAACAGCCACCTGAAACTATAAATACATTCAGCTTGACTAGCAAACCATGTTTTATAAATATTAGTTGAAGAAAGTGTCATTAGTGGGAGTGTCGAACTGCAGAACTGATATAAAACATACGTCGAGACATCTGTACAACTTTGCAAGGCACATGACAGTCCGACGGACAGTTGGATACCAGAGACAGTGCAGATCAAACTGCGGAAATAGGTGCAGGACTTGGTCGAGCTGATGACGAGTTCTTCCGCATGTTGCCTAAAGAGTCCACACAGATAAGTAAATAATAACTGCAGAAAAGTCACCTTCAACAACTTGAGTTCAGAACTGTTCTTTACCTCCACCATCTGCCTCCTGCTTCTCGGCCTT